TTAGAGAGTGATGTTGAGCGCCCGATCGCACTGAAAGGAGTGGTTACTCACATTGTCTGAGTCATCTGTCTGTTTCTGTCCCTCATCGCCCACCTCGGGGGCTGTTGGCACGGAGACGGGTAGTAGTGGTGATCTGGCCTTGCCAGCTTGCCCCAGAGACGCTGTTTTTACTGTTGGCTTGGGGAGGCTGGCACCTGGAGAAAAACAAACACAAAACATATTTTTTTTATAAAAACGGAGGACCTGTTTTTACCTATAATACAGTATATAACATATTCCATTTAGCAGATGCTTTTATGCAAAGCAACTTATAGTGATGCATCTATACATTTTACGTTTGCGTGGTCCTGGGAAGCGAACCCACTACGCTGGCGTTACAAGCGTCACGCTTGTACCAACTGAGCTACAGAGGACTGCAAGCCTCGGGGAGGCTGGCACCTGGAAACACACAAACACTCTGACGCGTTTATTCATCAGACTGAGGACCATGAGGTCACTGTAACACAACAAGGAACCTGAGAAAAAGCAACAGCCACCAAAATAGCCAAGGGACCTCAGCTCTGAATAGCAAGTAACCAAGGACCCATAGGTGCAGGTGTGGTTTGTTCTTAGATATTGAGGCAGCGAGTTGTGCTGCTGTACGGATTGTAGGTAGGCAGGCAGGTGAACGAGAGGTAAAAGGAGGGATGAGGGAGGGAGGGAGGGAGGGAGGGAGGGAGGGAGGGATGGATGGAGGGACGAGGGAGGGAGAAAGTGAGGGAGCCGTCTGTGTTTGACGGACAGCGGTGACAGCATAGAACAGCGTGGGGTTCCGCATCTCTCCATCTCCAGGATGAATCGCCTGGCCCTCTAAATGAGCTACCTGGGCTGGGTATTATCTGCATAATTTAACTCTGCAAATTACAGCAGCACCTGCTAGGTGCACTAGCAACAGTGGGAGGGAGAGGTAGGTGGGGAAGCTCTGGCTCCAGACGCAATAATAGGATCAACCCTCCCCTCGGGAGCCGCTGTGAGAGACACAGGCCGGATCGGCACGATCGCATCACAGCACGAGTGGGAAAATAAAGAACACAAAAGAATACAGCATTACACACCTACGGGGCTCAGTGACGCGGTAGCGGACAGAGTGGTGTGGGAGAAAGGACCATGACAGGACTGGACTGGAGAGACATGGTTGGCTCACCACTGATAACACTGATTACAGTCAGCCAGTCAATTATAGTCAACCTCAAAAAAAGTGTATCTAAAACACTGTATTCTAAAGGATAATTCTGTACTGTAAGATTTTATTCTATAGTCAGGGCCGGTTTCAGGCATTAAGCGACATAAGCGAGAGCTTTTGTTTTTAGGTACTCAGTCAGGGGTCTCAACTTACTGTCGAGGTTAGAATTGTCGAATATAAAAGGTGCCATTTAGAAATGTGGTTGTGCAACAGCAGTGTCTCTCTTGTTATGTCCGTCACTGACAGTCACTCAATTAGCCCATGTGTTCATTTTGGCAGCTATTTTAGATTTAGTCTTAAAATACCTTTTAGTCTTAGTCACATTTGAGTCATTTCATCCTTCGTTAGTTTTAGATATTATCAGTCGACTAAAGCTCTGCACCAGTTATAGTCTAGTTTTAGTCACAGGCATTAAATATTCTGAACACATGCATGCTTCTGATTGGACTAAACAGATGAAAAGGAGCTTCATGTCAAATTAAAATGTCCATTAGTCCCAGGTGGAATTCTCGTCTCGTCACATTTTCATTGACTATAATGTAATAGTTCCTTTTCCCATCTCATCTCTTTACCGTTATAGTTTAGTCAGGAATAATAGGTCTGTTCCGTCATAGTTATTGTTGACAAAATGAACACTGCTACGTCAGCTAAAATGTTTTAGACTGGTAAGTTAGTCTAGTCAGCTATCTAAACTTAATCATGGTCGAATTACCGACCAGTCACGCAGGGCACGCGCCCAGGGGCCCTGACCTCCAGGGGGACCTGACCTCCAGGGGCCCTGACCTCCAGGGGGCCCTGACCTCCAGGGGCCCTGACCTCCAGGGGCCCTGACCTCCAGGGGGCCCTGACCTCCAGGGGGCCCTGACCTCCAGGGGCCCTGACCTCCAGGGGGCCCTGACCTCCAGGGGCCCTGACCTCCAGGGGGCCCTGACCTCCAGGGGGCCCCCATTGATTTTGTTAGTCACTCTCACTCAGATGTGATATTAAAGATGCACTATGCAGAAATCGCTCCGACATTTCCTGGTTGCTAAAATTCTAACAGTTAGCCTAATTTCAGTTTATGTGACAAAACAGCAAGTTCTGTTCCGTCATCATTGTACCATCTAAGAATCATTGTACCATCTAAACCGCTCTGAAATATATTTTCCATAACCCAAAATATTGTATCTTCAGCTGTTTGAAGCTGGTGTACAAAACCAAAAGTAAAAGACGCAAAAATGAAACTTCAGAACGGGAAGCATAGAAATAGAGCACATAGAACAGATCTACCGCTTCTTAGACCTGCTTTCAATGAGAATGACAGATCTATAACACACATTTCTATGTGAATTTAGTCAGGTTGCCCAAAAAGTTACATATTGCAGATTTAACATGGCAAAATGTATAGAATTGCAGGAAACTTTTTTCTCCATCAAGAGGGGGGCCACTAAAATATTTAGCCCACAAGGTGGGGGGGGGGGGGGGGGGGGGCACATCTAAATGTAGCTTAGGGCCCCTAAAAGGCTAGGGCCAGCCCTGTCTATAGTGTACTGTAGGTCAGCTGTTCCTTTTCTGTTCAGGGGACCACCAAATCACCTCAAAAGCTCTTGAGGACCACCATTCGTGTAGTCATACAATTTTTTTTACGTAACATTTCTTAGCGGTAAAATGTTGTCCATTTTAGCATTGAATGCAACAAATTAAAAGGCCAATTATTATTATTATTATTATTATTATTATTATTATTATTATTATTATAAACAATTTGCATTATAATACTATTAATACTCCCAACTGTTATAATTTTTGGAAGAAAAAACTAAAAAACGAATCAAAATAAATTGGCACCACAGGTTGGAAACCGCTGTAGGTGTAATAACAGTGTATCCGTGTGTAATAACAGTGTATCCGTGTGTAATAACAGTGTATCCGTGTGTAATAACAGTGTATCCGTGTGTAATAACAGTGTATCCGTGTGTAATAACGGTGTATCCGTGTGTAATAACGGTGTATCCGTGTGTAATAACAGTGTATCCGTGTGTAATAACAGTGTATCCGTGTGTAATAACAGTGTATCCGTGTGTAATAACAGTGTATCCGTGTGTAATAACAGTGTATCCATGTGTAATAACGGTGTATCTGTGTGTAATAACAGTGTATCCGTGTGTAATAACAGTGTATCCGTGTGTAATAACAGTGTATCCGTGTGTAATAACAGTGTATCCGTGTGTAATAACAGTGTATCCGTGTGTAATAACGGTGTATCCGTGTGTAATAACAGTGTATCCGTGTGTAATAACGGTGTATCCGTGTGTAATAACAGTGTATCCGTGTGTAATAACGGTGTATCCGTGTGTAATAACTGTGTATTCATGTAATATGACACTACTGATTATTTCTCAGAATCTACACTGTACAAAACATTAAGAACACCTGCTCTTTCCATAGACTGACCAGGTGAATCCAGGTGAAAGCTATGATGTCATATTGATGTCACTTGTTAAATCCACTTCAAATCAGTCTAGAGCAGGGCTGCCCAACCCTCGTCCTGGAGATCTACCGTCCTGTAGGTTTTCAGTCCAACCCTAATTTAGCATACCTGATTCAGCTAGTTAAGGTCTTGTTGAGCAGCTAATAAGTAGAATCAGGTGTGTTAAATTAGGGTTGGACTGAAAACCCACAGGACGGTAGATCTCCAGGAAGAGTGTTGGGCATCCCTGGTCTAGATGAAGGGGGATAGACAAGTCAAAGAAGGATTTCTAAACCTTGAAACAACTGGGACATGGATTGTGTGTATGTGTGCCATTCAGTAGATTGCGGGGTCTGTTCACCTCCGCCCCGGTACTGGCTCACCCCGATCCATCACTACCGTTCGTAGTGGAGGTGAGTGCGTCCGAGGTAGGGATAGGCGCTGTCTTATCCCAACGCTCGGGCACGCCACCCAAGCTCCGCCCCTGTGCCTTCTTTTCTAAGAAGCTCAGCCCGGCGGAGCAGAACTACAGCGTTGGTGATCGGGAGCTGTTGGCTGTTGTCCGAGCTTTGACGGTGTGGAGGCATTGGCTCGAAGGGGCGAAACACCCTTTCCTCGTCTGGACAGACCACCGTAACCTGGAGTACATTCGGGCAGCGAGGAGGCTGAATCCTCGCCAGGCCAGGTGGGCCCTCTTCTTCACCCGGTTTGATTTCACACTTTCATACATTCCGGGTACGAAGAACGTGAAGGCAGACGCACTGTCTCGGCTGTATGACACAGAGGAGAGGCCCAGAGACAACACCCCCATACTCCCAGCCTCCTGCATTGTGGCGCCGGTAGTATGGGCGATGGACGCGGATATAGAGCAGGCATTACGCACAGATCCATCTCCACCGCAGTGTCCAGCTGGGCTGCGGTACGTGCCTGCGCTTATCCGTGATCGTCTGATCTACAGGGCACACACGTCACCCTCCTCTGGTCATCCAGGTATCAGTCGTACAATGCGCTGCCTGACTGAGAAGTACTGTTGGCCTACCTTGGCTAAGGACATGAGGGTGTATGTCTCCTCCTGCTCGGTGTGCGCCCAGAGTAAGGCACCTGGGCACCTCCCAGCGGGTAAACTACAACCTTTACCAGTTCCACAACAACCATGGTCTCACCTTAGTATTGATTTTCTTACTGATCTTCCCCTCTCACAAGGTAACACCACTATCCTGGTCGTTGTGTATCGCTTTTCGAAGTCCTGCCGCCTTCTTCCTCTGCCCGGTCTCCCCACGGCCCTACAAACTGCGGAGGATCTGTTTACTCACGTCTTCCGGCACTACGGGGTACCAGAGGATATAGTGTCCGACCGAGGTCCCCAGTTCACGTCTAGAGTCTGGAAGGCGTTCATGGAACGTCTGGGGGTCTTGGTCAGCCTGACCTCTGGATTTCACCCCGAGAGTAATGGGCAGGTGGAACGGGTGAATCAAGATGTGGGTAGGTTCCTGCGGACCTACTGTCAGGTCCGGCCGGGGGAGTGGTCGGTGTTCCTGCCATGGGCAGAATACGCTCAGAACTCTCTCTGCCACTCCTCCACTAACCTAACACCCTTCCAATGTGTTTTGGGTTACCAACCGGTCCTGGCACCATGGCACCAGAGCCAGACCGAGGCTCCTGCGGTGGATGACTGTGTTCTCAGAAGGCTGACCGCCACCGCAGGGAGGCCCCGGTTTTCGTACCGGGAGATCGGGTCTGGCTCTCGACCCAGAATCTACCCCTCAGCCTGCCCTGCCGGAAGCTGAGCCCGCGGTTTGTGGGGCCGTTTAAAGTCCTGAGGAGGATAAACGAGATTACGTACTGGTTGTTACTCCCCCCTGATTACCGTATTAACCCCTCGTTTCATGTGTCTCTCCTCAGGCCGGTGGTAGCTGGTCCGCTCCAGGAGTCTGAGGTGCGGGAGGTTCCTCAACCTCCTCTGGACATCGAGGAGGCCCCGGCGTACTCGGTCCGTTCCATACTGGATTCGAGGCGTCGGGTGGGGAGGCTTCAGTATCTCGTGGAGTGGGAGGGGTACGGTCCGGAGGAACGGTGCTGTGTCCCAAGGCGGGACATCCTCGATCCCTCCCTGTTGAGGGACTTCCACCGTCGCCATCCGACTCGCCCTGCTCCGCGCCCTCCTGGCCGTCCCCGTGGCCGGGGTCGGCGCACTGCTGGAGCCGCGCCTCGGGGGGGGGGGGGTACTGTCAAGACTTCCGCCGAGGCTGCCTCCCCTCCTTGCTCGGGCAGGTTTCGGCGTTCGTCGTCACCGGCTTACTAGCTACTGCCGATCCCATTCTCATCACTCCACTTGTCTTGTCTTGTCAATCACACACACCTGGTGCTCATTCCCCTAATTAGTATGTGTATAAGTGTTCCCTCTGTTCCCCTTATCTTTGTGAGTGATTGTTTCTTTGTGAGAGCCAACAGCTCAGTTGAGCTACTCTTCCATTTGATGGAATATGTCCCTTGTGATAGTTTCGTTTTGACGCTGGGTGCGTTTTATTTATGTAAACGGAAATAAACTCTAGACTTCTGTGTTTTATCTCCTGCGCCTGACTCCTTCATTCACACCTCGTCACTCTCAACCCCTTCACCGAACACAGAGTAACATCAAGTAACCTTAATTACACTCTCACCCCCTTCACTGAACACAGAGGAACATCAAGGCACCCAGTGCTCCCAGTACAATCCAAACATGATTAGGAAACATTAGCCTAGGCGGTTAGTGGCGGTTGTGGTGTGATGACGTGTGTATCTGTGTGGTGTAGAGCCGAGCGCTGCCAGATCACTCAGTCAGTTGGAGTCTGACTGTTTCTACTGCTCCACCTCCACTTCAATCGGTCTGACTGTTTCTACTGCTCCACCTCCACTTCAATCGGTCTGACTGTTCCTCAGTAACTTATATCTAACTCAGAGAGTTTCATCTACATCCAGGACACCTACTTGTGTTGCTTATAGATTGAATGTATTCCTTATTCATTCCTTTCGAGGCGACCGTTGGATTAAAATGTAGACTGTGTTATTGATACCAGTAACATTCCTTTTTTTATGAGGTTCTTGATCACATCAACATAAACCATTGCCTTGGAAACACATTATTGTTAATGATATATCATTGCTTTTACAAAACAATTTGCACCAATGACACTAATGTTGAACTATAGCTACATAAACCAACCCAACTATAGCTACATAAACCAACCCAACTATAGCTACGTAAACCAACCCAACTATAGCTACGTAAACCAACTATAGCTACATAAACCAACCCAACTATAGCTACGTAAACCAACCCAACTATAGCTACATAAACCAACCCAACTATAGCTACGTAAACCAACCCAACTATAGCTACATAAACCAACCCAACTATAGCTATGTAAACCAACTCAACTATAGCTACGTAAACCAACCCAACTATAGCTACGTAAACCAACCCAACTATAGCTACATAAACCAACCCAACTATAGCTACGTAAACCAACCCAACTATAGCAACATAAACCAACCCAACTATAGCTACGTAAACCAACCCAACTATAGCTACATAAACCAACCCAACTATAGCTACGTAAACCAACCCAACTATAGCTACATAAACCAACCCAACTATAGCTACGTAAACCAACCCAACTATAGCTACGTAAACCAACCCAACTATAGCTACGTAAGCCAACCCAAATCTATGGCTGCTATCTGCCTAGTCCACATAATACTTTTTAGGTTGAGTGTTCAATCAAAACCTCAATAAAATATTGACGTTAGCATGTCAGCACCCACCACGCAATACTCATTTAGCAGAAGTACCAGGCTAACTGTGACTACGCTCCACTCAGTGTTCCAACTGTGACTACGCTCCACTCAGTGTTCTAACTGTGACTACGCTCCACTCAGTGTTCCAACTGTGACTACGCTCCACTCAGTGTTCTAACTGTGACTACGCTCCACTCAGTGTTCTAACTGTGACTACGCTCCACTCAGTGTTCTAACTGTGACTACGCTCCACTCAGTGTTCTAACTGTGACTACGCTCCACTCAGTGTTCTAACTGTGACTACTCTCCACTCAGTGTTCTAACTGTGACTACGCTCCACTCAGTGTTCTAACTGTGACTACGCTCCACTCAGTGTTCTAACTGTGACTACCTCCACTCAGTGTTCTAACTGTGACTACTCTCCACTCAGTGTTCTAACTGTGACTACTCTCCACTCAGTGTTCTAACTGTGACTACGCTCCACTCAGTGTTCTAACTGTGACTACTCTCCACTCAGTGTTCTAACTGTGACTACGCTCCACTCAGTGTTCTAACTGTGACTACTCTCCACTCAGTGTTCTAACTGTGACTACGCTCCACTCAGTGTTCTAACTGTGACTACTCTCCACTCAGTGTTCTAACTGTGACTACGCTCCACTCAGTGTTCTAACTGTGACTACGCTCCACTCAGTGTTCTAACTGTGACTACTCTCCACTCAGTGTTCTAACTGTGACTACTCTCCACTCAGTGTTCTAACTGTGACTACGCTCCACTCAGTGTTCTAACTGTGACTACGCTCCACTCAGTGTTCTAACTGTGACTACTCTCCACTCAGTGTTCTAACTGTGACTACGCTCCACTCAGTGTTCTAACTGTGACTACCTCCACTCAGTGTTCTAACTGTGACTACGCTCCACTCAGTGTTCTAACTGTGACTACTCTCCACTCAGTGTTCTAACTGTGACTACTCTCCACTCAGTGTTCTAACTGTGACTACGCTCCACTCAGTGTTCTAACTGTGACTACGCTCCACTCAGTGTTCTAACTGTGACTACGCTCCACTCAGTGTTCTAACTGTGACTACTCTCCACTCAGTGTTCTAACTGTGACTACTCTCCACTCAGTGTTCTAACTGTGACTACTCTCCACTCAGTGTTCTAACTGTGACTACTCTCCACTCAGTGTTCTAACTGTGACTACGCTCCACTCAGTGTTCTAACTGTGACTACTCTCCACTCAGTGTTCTAACTGTGACTACGCTCCACTCAGTGTTCTAACTGTGACTACTCTCCACTCAGTGTTTCTAACTGTGACTACTCTCCACTCAGTGTTCTAACTGTGACTACTCTCCACTCAGTGTTCTAACTGTGACTTACGCTCCACTCAGTTGTTCTAAACTGTGACTACTCTCCACTCAGTGTTCTAACTGTGACTACGCTCCACTCAGTGTTCTAACTGTGACTACGCTCCACTCAGTGTTCTACTGTGACTACTCTCCACTCAGTGTTCTAACTGTGACTACGCTCCACTCAGTGTTCTAACTGTGACTACTCTCCACTCAGTGTTCTAAACTGTGACTACTCTCCACTCAGTGTTCTAACTGTGACTACGCTCCCACTCAGGTTCTAACTGTGACTACGCTCCACTCAGTGTTCTAACTGTGACTACGCTCCACTCAGTGTTCTAACTGTGACTACCTCCACTCAGTGTTCTAAACTGTGGACTACTCTCCACTCAGTGTTCTAACTGTGACTACGCTCCACTCAGTGTTCTAACTGTGACTACTCTCCACTCAGTGTTCTAAACTGTGACTACTCTCCACTCAGTGTTCTAACTGTGACTACTCTCCACTCAGTGTTCTAACTGTGACTACTCTCCACTCAGTGTTCTAACTGTGACTACTCTCCACTCAGTGTTCTAACTGTGACTACTCTCCACTCAGTGTTCTAACTGTGACTACTCTCCACTCAGTGTTCTAACTGTGACTACTCTCCACTCAGTGTTCTAACTGTGACTACTCTCCACTCAGTGTTCTAACTGTGACTACTCTCCACTCAGTGTTCTAACTGTGACTACTCTCCACTCAGTGTTCTAACTGTGACTACGCTCCACTCAGTGTTCTAACTGTGACTACTCTCCACTCAGTGTTCTAACTGTGACTACGCTCCACTCAGTGTTCTAACTGTGACTACTCTCCACTCAGTGTTGTAATCAAACGGTTCCACCTTCCAAAGTGAGTCATTGAGTGAGAAATGGTCTAACAATCAACCGTGTGCTATCACAATGTGTAACCTACTGTAAGCACTGTAATATCACAATATCTGGAGGCCCTTTTCCAGAACTGTGCAGCATTTTTCGTGGACCAAAGTAATTTAAACCGCTTTGTTTCACAGCACACCACTTTGCGAAATCAATAAATATCAATCCCTGCCAATAGCTAGCTACCTCAAAGACCTGCTTGTTTGATGTTTCCAGCTCTGTATAGAAGAGAGACTGGGCTCCTGCTGTTGCCTGACAACACCTGAAACAGCCTGAAGCCGGTAGGCTGTGAAGGGAGGTGAAATAGACAGACTTTGGAAGAAAAACATATTTCAGGACTGCGTCCCAAATAGCACCCTATTCTCTATAATATAGTGCACTACTTTTATGGGCTAAAAAAAGTAGTAGTCTATTGGCTCTGGTCAAAAGTAGTGCACTTTAAAGGGAATAGGGTGCCATTTGGGACGCCTCCATTCCTCTGATACTATTGCTGGGCTAAACTTCCTTTAAACTACCTCTCCAGTCTGACTGGGAGCTGGAGAGATTTCCTCCAAAGATTATATTGATTGATTTCCACGAGCTAAAAGCCAAGTGAACACAGTAAAGACGCAGCCAGCCAGAGAAATGCTCTCCAGTTTTGCTACACCAGCTGCTTGCTGTGCAGTGGCTTAATGGGCTGAGCCGCTGCCCTTCGCCCAGGAGGAGGTTTTCACATCCTGTTCTTCACCTTCATTCTCAACCATGTAGTCTAGTAGATGCTCTTTTCCAGAGCGATTTACACATAGAAGGCACAAAGTCTTAAAGACACAATCCTTATTTTGCTACATCCATTTTTTGGACTTATAAATTAATGATGTACCCAATCATTCTTGAAGAATATAACTTCTAAATGCCTGATGACCTTAGTTCAACTGTCGTACCCCGTCAGAACCCAAAATAGAAGCTTGTTTTACTCCAATGTTTGTAATCAACATAAATGTAAACAAACATTGTATCGCCTCAAAACACGGTTAAAGCTATCATTTAGATATCAGAGAAGGGAAATTCCTGCCTGCATGAGGGGGGGGGGAGAGAGAGAGAGAGAGGGAGGGGGGGAGAGAGAGAGAGAGAGAGAGAGAGAGAGAGAGAGAGAGAGAGAGAGAGAGAGAGAGAGAGAGAGAAAGGCTATTCCTGTGTGTGTGTGTGTGTGTGTGTGTGTGTGTGTGTGTGTGTGTGTGTGTGTGTGTGTGTGTGTGTGTATGTTTGGTGGGGGAGGGGTGGCACGCAGAGCAACACCACTCACTCCTTCAGGCAGGAAAAGGGAAAAGCCCCTCTTTCTCCCTTACTTTTCTAATCACATAACTGACGTTTGCCTATTTGCTACGGGCCAAATCACTTTCACCCTTTTAATAACTGATATCTAATAAGCTCAAGCATTAACAGACTGGCTTGATGGCTAACATCAACGTTGATGAAGATATTTGGTTATAACTGTGGAGGAGTAGCAGTGGAAGACCACAGAGACCTCCTGTAGTGTAGACTACTGTGTAATGCGTAAATATCAGCAAATTAGGTGAAGGTCCATTGTTCAGAAAACCGTTTTTTTAAGCCAATCTGACTTAAAACGCTTGTTTTATACAGTGAGGGAAAAAAGTATTTGATCCCCTGCTGATTTTGTACGTTTGCCCACTGACGAAGAAATGTCTAATTTTAATGGTAGGTTTATTTGAACAGTGAGAGACAGAATAACAACAACAAAAAAGATCCAGAAAAAACGCATGTCAAAAATGTTATAAATTGATTTGCATTTTAAAGAGGGAAATAAGTATCTGACCCCCTCTCAATCAGAAAGATTTCTGGCTCCCAGGTGTCTTTTATACAGGTAACGAGCTGAGATTAGGAGCACACTCTTAAAGGGAGTGCTCCTAGTCTCAGCTTGTTAACTGTATAAAATACACCTGTCCACTGAAGCAATCAATCAATCAGATTCCAAACTCTCCACCATGGCCAAGACCAAAGAGCTCTCCAAGGATGTCAGGGACAAGATTGTAGACTTCTGGCTCTATTGGCCATGGAGGTGCATATGAAGTTCCATAAGTCATTGTATGGTATAACCCAGCATTAGCACTAGCCTCAAACCCAGTCCCCCACATTGCACTCACTTGAATGTGGTATCATGGGCGTGTAGACCTTGGGGTCGATTGTGCCCATGGGTGGAGGCAGGAGGGGGTTGGCGAAGCTCCGTAGGGGGTGCGTGGGCCTGACGCAGGCGGTGGGGATGGTACGGGTTGAGATGCCCCCAACCTCCTCTGTGCCAGGGAGAGAGAGCTCCCCTCCACCTCCTACACCTGGCTGACTGCTACTGCTGGTAATCAGAGTATGCTGCTGCTGCAACCCCAGCGGAGTGGAGCCCTCTGTCAATATCGCTGCACAGAGAGACAGAGAAACAGGTTAGTTAGTTCCACCTGTTAGTTAGTTAGTTCCACCTGTTAGTTAGTTAGTTAGTCCCATTGCTAGGAGTGTTGCCCTCTGTCGATATCGCTGCACAGAGAGACAGAGAAACAGGTTAGTTAGTTCCACCTGTTAGTTAGTTAGTTCCACCTGTTAGTTAGTTAGTTAGTCCCATTGCTAGGAGTGTTGCCCTCTGTCGATATCGCTGTACAGAGAGACAGAGAAACAGGTTAGTTAGTTCCACCTGTTAGTTAGTTAGTCCCATTGCTAGGAGTGTTGCCCTCTGTCAATATCGCTGTACAGAGAGACAGAGAAACAGGTTAGTTAGTTCCACCTGTTAGTTAGTTAGTTCCACTGGTTAGTTATTATATCATAGTTGTCTTTGATCTATATCGTGTAGCTATAAAAACAACAACAATTGATCAAAATAGAAGTAACCTCATGCTGAGAGATCCAGGATGCCCTACTCCCAGTGACCTCATGCTGAGAGATCCAGGATGCCCTACTCCCAGTGACCTCATGCTGAGAGATCCAGGAATGCCCTACTCCCAGTAACTCATGCTGAGAGATCCAGGATGCCCTACTCCCAGTGACCTCATGCTGAGAGATCCAGGATGCCCTACTCCCAGTGACCTCATGCTGAGAGATCCAGGATGCCCTACTCCCAGTGACCTCATGCTGAGAGATCCAGGATGCCCTACTCCCAGTGACCTCATGCTGAGAGATCCAGGATGCCCTACTCCCAGTGACCTCATGCTGAGAGATCCAGGATGCCCTACTCCCAGTAATCTCATGCTGAGAGATCCAGGATGCCGTACTCCCAGTGACCTCAGCTAAGGATCCAGGTGCCTACTCCCAGTGACCTCATGCTGAGAGATCCAGGATGCCCTACTCCCAGTGACGTCATGCTGAGAGATCCAGGATGCCCTACTCCCAGTGACGTCATGCTGAGAGATCCAGGATGCCCTACTCCCAGTGACGTCATGCTGAGAGATCCAGGATGCCCTACTCCCAGTGACGTCATGCTGAGAGATCCAGGATGCCCTACTCCCAGTGACGTCATGCTGAGAGATCCAGGATGCCCTACTCCCAGTGACCTCATGCTGAGAGATCCAGGATGCCCTACTCCCAGTGACGTCATGCTGAGAGATCCAGGATGCCCTACTCCCAGTGACCTCATGCTGAGAGATCCAGGATGCCCTACTCCCAGTGACGTCATGCTGAGAGATCCAGGATGCCCTACTCCCAGTGACCTCATGCTGAGAGGAAAACAGTGTTCAGGTGTGATTGGAAGCCCACACCACAAAAAAACAGATAACAGATAACAAAACCTACTAATTATAATGTATAAATTAATTGATCAGTAATCACAAAAAAAAATATATATATATATGTGTGTGTGTGTGTGTTTTATTGGAATGTGAATGTATGAATTAGGCTACATGGAGGAGAACACTGGGTCGTTTTCTTTTTGGCATTACACTAAAGTCTTGTTGACATTGGTAGCCGAGCCATTCTACCTTTACTGTGCTATAGGCCTAGGGGTCCATCTGAAACGAGATCTAAGGTACATCTTGGTAAACACGCCAAGCGTCTTGGCCAGGGGGCATTTAACACTGGCCTTTTCACTTAACCAGCAAACCACCCTTGAGGTTAGAAACCTATTTTACTGTCTTAATGCCTTGGACATCAATGGCCCCTCTACCTCTACCTCTCCCTCTCCTTTCTTCTCCCCTCCCCTCCCCTACTCTCCTCTCCCTCCTCTCCCCTCCCCTCCTCTCCTCTCCTCTCCTCTCCTCTCCTCTCCTCTCCTCTCCTCTCCTCTCCTCTCCTCTCCCCTCCTCTCCCCTCCACTTCCTTCTACCTTGTTTGCTCTCTCCATCCGACCAAAGTGATTTCCCCGACACTGAAACTAACCTGATTCCCGTCGTGGCCCACTACTTGTGCTGCGTCCCGAATGGAACCCCATTCTTTCCATTCATAGGTTGCACCTCCGTTACTCGGTCGCGTCATGCCATTGTTATGAACGTTCTCAAGCCGCCATCCACCAGCAGCGCCATAGCGGTGCCCTAAAGACGTGACAAGCCCAGTCATTCTGGACGGAGGCTAACAACTGTTTAGTCTAAATTACACTATAGTTGTCATTAGCTAGCAATGTTGTCATTAGCTAGCAGTGTATCATTAGCTGGCAATGTTGTCATTAGCTAGCAATGTTGTCATTAGCTAGCAATGTTGTCATTAGCTAGCAATGTTGTCATTAGCTAGCAAAGTTGTCATTAGCTAGCAAAGTTATCATTAGCTAGCAATGTTGTTATTAGCTAGCAATGTTGTCATTAGCTAGCGATGTTTTTTTGTTGTTATTTTTGTAGTTATTTTTTATTTTATTTTAGGGGGTAGATCAGCTTAATATTGCAGATATATTGTAACTTCAATCAATGTAATTGTCTGCATCACTTCCAATCCCCCATGTTTATATATATATATATATATATATATATATATATATATATATATATATATATATATATACACAGTGGGGAGAACAAGTATTTGATACACTGCCGATTTTGCAGGTTTTCCTACTTACAAAGCATGTAGAGGTCTGTAATTTTTTATCATAGGTACACTTCAACTGTGAGAGACGAAAATCCAGAAAATCACATTGTATGATTTTTAAGTAATTAATTTGCATTTTATTGCATGACATAAGTATTTGATCACCTACCAACCATTAAGAATTCCGGCTCTCACAGACCTGTTAGTTTTTCTTCAAGAAGCCCTCCTGCTCTCCACTCATTACCTGTATTAACTGCACCTGTTTGAACTCGTTACCTATATAAAAGACACCTGTCCACACTCAATCAAACAGACTCCAACCTCTCCACAATGGCCAAGACCAGAGAGCTGTGTAAGGACATCAGGGATAAAATTGTAGACCTGCACAAGGCTGGGATGGGCTACAGGACAATAGGCAAGCAGCTTGGTGAGAAGGCAACAACTGTTGGCTCAATTATTAGAAAATGGAAGAAGTTCAAGATGACGGTCAATCACCCTCGGTCTGGGGCTCCATGCAAGATCTCACCTCGTGGGGCATCAATGATCATGAGGAAGGTGAGGGATCAGCCCAGAACTACACGGCAGGACCTGATCAATGACCTGAAGAGAGCTGGGACCACAGTCTCAAAGAAAACCATTAGTAACACACTACGCCATCATGGATTAAAATACTGCAGCGCACGCAAGGTCCACCTGCTCAAGTCAGCGCATGTCCCTTCTGAAGTTTGTCAATGACCATCTGGATGATCCAGAGGAGGAATGGGAGAAGGTCATGTGGTCTGATGAGACAAAAATAGAGCTTTTTGGTCTAAACTCCACTCGCCGTGTTTGGAGGAAGAACAAGGATGAGTACAACCCCAAGAACACCATCCCAACCGTGAAGCATGGAGGTGGAAACATCATTCTTTGGGGATGCTTTTCTGCAAAGGGGACAGGACGACTGCACCGTAATGAGGGGAGGATGGATGGGGCCATGTATCGCGAGATCTTGATAACATACATATATATATATATATATATATATATATATACATACATACATACATACATACATACATACACATACATATCCTTTAAAACAAATATATTTCCCTTTATTACTTTCCAACCCCAACACCCTTTCCCTAATTGGAGAAAACTAGTGAACAACAATGCTTAGGCCTCTACCAGCTTATACTTACTATATACATTTTATGGACACAGTCAATTTTACAATAATTATATTTTGTTTGTTTTACTCCTGAATTTCCTCTACCCTCAACCTCTCCGATCATTTTCATGATGTCCATCCGGTTTGCTTCTATATGCCATATCTTTCTAACTGTGTTCTTTCACAAAAGCTCCCAACCTACAACCTATATACTTATTATGGACACAGTATGCTTACATTATTAGGTATCTTGTTGTTATTAGTTGTTGTTAGTTGTTATTAGTCCCATCATTCAACTCCATTCAACACCACCCATCTATCTCTTAACACCATCCATATTGGATTTCTATTTGCCATATATTTTTCAACTGTACTGTGATGTTTTACAAAAGTTCTGAACCTTTCTATTCTCATTGTTTCTACAGATTGTAAATTGAAAATAAACATTTTTGCTAAAAGTATTATATATTATTGATCGATTGACTATGACTTTTCAGATCACCCAGTAATGCTATCTGCAAGGTTAGCTCCATCAAAATGATGACAAAAGGTTTTCCTACTAATTATTTGCCTCCTTTTATAATGTAATTGTCTTTCCAAGCCACTGTAATGCACATTTGATGAAATCTTAATCAGCGCTCAATGACAATGTATTGAATAGAATGCTCAGTCGGGCATCAGTCCAAAACAAATGTTCAAAACAATATTGTGACAAAATGTGCAACCAATAAATAGTGTATACTATATTATATATATTATAATATTGTATAAATAGTGTATATTATATATATATTATAATATTGTATAAATAGTGTATATTATATATATAATAATATTGTATAAATAGTGTATATTATATATATTATAATATTGTATAAATAGTGTATATTATATATATTATTATATTGTATAAATAGTATATATTATATTTGTTAACTAGTGTATATTTATTATATATTCTTTTAATTTGTATACATCTTGTTATTATCTATATATTACTATTATATTATATTATCTATTGTACTAAACTGGTGTATTTCTCTTATCTATTTTACATATTGTATAACTGGTGTATTTCTCTTTATTCTTTCTTTGTTACTCAGTGTCTCTTACTTATCTCTCTTTCATTTGTCTCATCGTGTTCTTTCTTCTCTCTCTTCTCACTCTTGTCTCCCATGTGTCTCTTCTCTTCTCTTTCTCTTTATATTGTATATATAGTGCACTACATTTGACCAGGGCCTATATGAGGGATCAGCCCAGTATATTGGGGATAGGGTGTAAATGACTAATACATCTTGGCCTCAGTGTCATTTAGTCGCCTCGTCAAGGCTGTCTTAACACAATAAGAGCAAGCATGGAGCGTAGCGGAGTGAGAGAGAAACGACACGGCTAATGAGAAGTAAATGTCTGTTAGAGAAACTGAGACCAGAGGCAAGAAGAGAGACAGAAAGAGATAAAGCGAGGAGGAGAGATTGGATTGACAGGGAGGGAGAGACAGAGATTAAGAGGTGCAGAGGCCTTTAGGGAAAATAAGAGACAGAGAGAGACAGAGAGGGAGAGAGAGGGAGAGAGAGAGAGAGAGAAGAGACCAGATCTAGAGGAGAATAGGAAGAGAGAGACGAGATTGTCTTTGCTAGGAGGAGAGAGGAGCTCATTTATATGAGGGCGCTCTGGGAGCGAGTATAGGCGGAGTGGCGAGGCGCTAGAGGCTCGCTTTTCTCTCTCGCCGCTTGCGCTTCCTTCTCGCTCTTTCTCTCTTTCCTCGCTCTCTCTCGCGTTCGCCGCGCCGTCTTTCTTGCTCCGCCTCTCTGGGCTTTTCCTCTCCGTGTTGCGCGTTGCGAGAGCTTCTTCTTCTGATGATCGTGACAGGATCGAGGCGAATAGACGTGCGAGGATAGGAGCAGAGGGACGTAGATTAAAGCGAAGAGAGGAAGATGTGAGGAAAAGGATAGACTCAGATTGAGAGTCAGAGGTAAAGTAAGAGAGGGAGAGAGATAAATGAAGAAAAAGAGAGATAGAGAGAGAAATAGATATGGGCAGTATAATGAAAGAGAAGTGATGAGAGATACTATAGATAAACAGTATATGAGAGAAGGAGAGAGAGAGAGATATAATATAGATATAGATACAGAACTAGAATGCTATTTGGACCTAAACAGAGAGTACACAGTGGCAGAATACCTGACCACCGTGACTGACCCAAACTTAAGGAAAGCTTTGACTATGTACAGACTCAGTGAGCATAGCCTTGCTATTGTGAAAGTCCGCCGTAGGCAGACCTGGCTCTCAAGAGAAGACAGGCTATGTGCACACTGCCCACAAAATGAGGTGGAAACTGAGCTGCACTTCCTAACTTCCTGCCAAATGTACGGCCACATTAGAGACTTTAACTATTTGCATATTGTTACAACACTGTATATAGAGATAATATGACATTTGAAATGTCTTTATTCTTTTGGAACTTTTGTGAGTGTAATGTTTACTGTTCATTTTTTTATTTCAGTTTTGTTTATCCATTTCACTTGCTTTGGCAATGTAAACATATGTTTCCCATGCCAATAAAGCCCCTTGAATTGAAATTGAGAGAGATAAACAGTACAACAGAGAGAGAGAGAGGGATAGAACGAGGGAAGAGAAGCAGACATACAGAATGACTGTAAACGGTACTGACTTCCACCTGCTGCGTAGCTGCGGTCCACGGTGAGGCTGGGGAAGGGCATGGGTCTCAGGGTAAACTTGGGGTGGGTGGTCAGAGTACCATGGCTATACCCGCAGGTGGGCGAGGGCAGGATGCCAGGGTACTGGCTGCTCTCCAGGGTTGGCACTGGCATGGCACTGACAACAGCTGGGTAGAGGGGAGGAGAGAGGGGAGGAGAGAGGGGAGGAGAGGGGAGGAAAGAGGAGGAGAGAGGGGAGGAGAGAGGGGACAACATAATGAGAGAAATAAAACGACAGGGTTAATATAACCACTTGCATTCCAAATGGCACCCTCATCCCTATTCAATCCTCTAAATAGGGAATAAGGGTGTCATTTGGGACACAAAGATAAACAGATAAACAACGACAGCCACCGTTTAGACTAAAGCAGGAAAACAAAGTGTTTTTTATTCTAGGTCATCTAGCCCCTAGTAAAACTGTTTTATCCAAAGTAACTTACATTTTATAGGATCAATTAGTGACAACGTAGAGCTGTATACTCTATATCGCTTCCAATAAACACTTCAATTAAGGGAGGTTCTAAAGAGAAATACTAAATACAGCACTACAGGGACATCTAAAGACGGTTCATTAGAAAACAGACTGAAACAAGGATGGACTGCCTGGACTCATTTTCATTGCAAAACATTTCTAAATGATTTCCGTTGATGCCAGGCTGTTCCCAACATGGAGTTAGACAGAGGAGGATAGAAATATTGGAGAACTAGTCTGGAGTCTGGAGAACTAGTGTGAAGTCTGGAGAACTAGTGTGGAGAACTAGTGACTGACTGAGCCTTGACTTTGAGAAGAGCCCTGAGGGGCTTAAAGAAGGGAGGGAGAGAGGATTGGGTGTGGGATGGAGGAGGGCGCTGGGCTGTTAAAACTCCCAGGGTACCCCACACACACAGAGAGAGAGACAGAGAGAGACAGACAAAGAGAGCTAGATAGAGGGAGAGCGAGATGGAGGGAGAGCGGGAGAGAGGTGGGATAGAGAGGGAGAAGAGAGAGAGAGAGAGAGAGAGAGAGAGAGAGAGAGAGAGGGGGAGAAGCGGTTTTGGCCGGGCGGCTCGATAGCTTCATTTCTGGATCTTATATCTCATTCCTTGAGCTAAGGAAATCGTCTCCTAGGAGGCTCGAGCTCGGCTCTCTCTCTGTTCATATCATCAGCGAGGGAGAGCCTACGCTTTTTATCGGGCCGAGTCGCGCGCGCGGCGAGTTATGATGAGCGGAGGCGAGGAGCTATAGCGAGAGGATAGCGCGATGGAGGGGAGCATTAAGTAGGAGAGAGCAGAAGAGAGGAAGATGTGAGGAAAAGGATAGACTCAGATTGCGAGTCAGAGGTAAAGTAAGAGAGGGAGAGAGATAAATGAAGAAAAAGAGAAGAGAGAGAGAGAGAGAGAGAGAGAAGAGAGAGAGAGAGAGGAGAGAGAGAGAGAGAGAGAGAAAAAAAAAGCTGAAATAAATCATTCTCTCTACTATTATTCTGACATTTCACATTCTTAAAATAAAGTGGTGATCCTAAAAGACCTAAAACGGGGAATTTTTACTAGGATTAAATGTCAGGAATTGTGAAAAACTGAGTTTAAATGTATTTGGCTAAGGTGTATGTAAAATTCCGACTTCAACTGTATACACTCCCGGTCAAAAGTTTGGACACACCTTCTCATTCAAGGGTTTTTCTTTATTTTTACTATTTTCTACATTGTAGAATAATTTTGACGACATCAAAACTATGAAATAACACATATGGAATCATGTAGTAACCAAAAAAGTGTTAAACTAATCAAAATATATTTTAGATTTTAGATTCCTCAAAGTAGCCACCCTTTGCCTTGATGACAGCTTTGCACACTTTTGGCATTATCTCAACCAGCTTCATGAGGTAATCACCTGGAATGCATTTCAATTAACAGGTGTGCCTTGTTAAAAGTTAATTTGTGGAATTTCTTTCCTTCTTAATGAGTTTGAGCCAATCAGTTGCGTTGTGACAAGGTAGGGGTGGTATACAGAAGATAGCCCTATTTGGTAAAAGACTAAGTCCATCATTACTTTAAGACATGAAGGTCAGTCAATCTGGAAAATTTCAAGAACTTTGAACGTTTCTTCAAGTGCAGTTGCAAAAACCATCAAGCGCTATGATGAAACTGGCTCTCATGAGGACTGCCACAGGAAAGGAAGACCCAGAGTTACCTCTGCTGCAGAGGATAAATTCATTAGAGTTACCAGCCTCAGAAATCGGTAATTAACTGCACCTCAGATTGCAGCCCAAATAAATGCTTTACAGAGTTTAAGTAAAAGACACATCTCAACATCAACTGTTCAGAGGAGACTGCGTGAATCAGGCCTTCATGGTCGAATTTCTGCAAAGAAACCACTACTAAAGGACAAGAAACACGAGCAATTGACATTAGACTGGTGGAAATCTGTCCAAATTTGAGATTTTTGGTTCCAACCGCCGTGTCTTTGTGAGACGCAGAGTAGGTGAACAGATGATCCCTGCATGTGTGGATCCCGCCTTGAAGCATGGAGGAGGAGGTGTGATGGTGTGGGGGTCCTTTGCTGGTGAGACTGTCTGTGATTTATTTATAATTCAAGGCACACTTAACCAGCATGGCTACCACAGCAGTCTGCAGCGATACGCCATTCCATCTGGTTTGGGCTTAGTGGGACTATCATTTGTTTTTCAACAGGACAATTACCCAAATCACACCTCCAGGCTGTGTAAGGGCTATTTGACCATGAAGGAGAGTAATGGAGTGCTGCATCAGATGACCTGGCCTCCACAATCACCCAACCTCAACCCAATTGAGATGGTTTGGGATGAGTTGGACCGCAGAGTGAAGGAAAAGCCGCCAACAAGTGCTCAGCATATGTGGAAACTCCTTCAAGACTGTTGGAAAATATATAAAATATATTTTGATTTGTTTAACACTTTTTTGGTTACTACATGATTCCATGTGTTATTTTATAGTTTTGATGTCTTCACTATTATTCTACAATGTAAAAAATTGTCAAATTAAAGAAAAACCCTTGAATGAGTAGGTGTGTCCAAACTTTTGACTGGTAGTGTATGTATATATATATATATATATATATATATATATATATATATATTATATATATATATATATATATCTACAGTGGGAGAACAAGTATTTGATTACACTGCCGATTTTGCAGGTTTTCCTACTTACAAAGCATGTAGAGGTCTGTAATTTTTATCATAGGTACACTTCAACTGTGAGAGACGGAATCTAAAACAAAAATCCAGAAAATCACATTGTATGATTTTTAAGTAATTAATTTGCATTTTATTGCATGACATAAGTATTTGATCCCCTACCAACCAGTAAGAATTCCGGCTCTCACAGACCTGTTAGTTTTTCTTTAAGAAGCCCTCCTGTTCTCTACTCATTACCTTTATTAACTGCACCTGTTTGAACTCATTACCTGTATAAAAGACACCTGTCCACACACTCAATCAAACAGACTCCAACCTCTCCACAATGGCCAAGACCAGAGAGCTGTGTAAGGACATCAGGGATAAAATTGTAGACCTGCACAAGGCTGGGATGGGCTACAGGACAATAGGCAAGCAGCTTGGTGAGAAGGCAACAACTGTTGGCGCAATTATTAGAAAATGGAAGAAGTTCAAGATGACGGTCAATCACCCTTGGTCTGGGGCTCCATGCAAGATCTCACCTCGTGCGGCATCAATGATCATGAGGAAGGTGAGGGATCAGCCCAGAACTACACGGCAGGACCTGATCAATGACCTGAAGAGAGCTGGGACCACAGTCTCAAAGAAAACCATTAGTAACACACTACGCCGTCATGGATTAAAATACTGCAGCGCACGCAAGGTCCACCTGCTCAAGTCAGCGCATGTCCAGGCCCGTCTGAAGTTTGCCAATGACCATCTGGATGATCCAGAGGAGGAATGGGAGAAGGTCATGTGGTCTGATGAGACAAAAATATAGCTTTTTGGTCTAAACTCCACTCGCCGTGTTTGGAGGAAGAACAAGGATGAGTACAACCCCAAGAACACCATCCCAACCGTGATGCATGGAGGTGGAAACATCATTCTTTGGGGATGCTTTTCTGCAAAGGGGACTGCACCGTATTGAGGGGAGGATGGATGGGGCCATGTATCGCGAGATCTTGGCCAACAACCTCCTTCCCTCAGTAAGAGCATTGAAGATGGGTCGTGGCTGGGTCTTCCAGCATGACAACGACCTGAAACACACAGGCAGGGCAACTAAGGAGTGGCTCCGTAAGAAGCATCTCAAGGTCCTGGAGTGGCCTAGCCAGTCTCCAGACCTGAACACAATAGAAAATCTTTGGAGGGAGCTGAAAGTCCGTATTGCCCAGCGACAGCCCCGAAACCTGAAGGATCTGGAAAAGGTCTGTATGGAGGAGTGGGCCAAAATCCCTGCTGCAGTGTGTGCAAACCTGGTCAAGACCTAAAGGAAACGTATGATCTCTGTAATTGCAAACAAAGGTTTCTGTACCAAATATTAAGTTCTGCTTTTCTGATGTATCAAATACTTATGTCATGCAATAAAATGCAAATGAATTACTTAAAAATCATACAATGTGATTTTCTGGATTTTTTGTTTTAGATTCCGTCTCTCACAGTTGAAGTGTACCTATGATAAAAAATTACAGACCTCTACATGCTTTGTAAGTAGGAAAACCTGCAAAATCGGCAGTGTCAAAAACTTGTTCTCCCCACTGTATATAGACACCCCTGGTAGTGTATATATATATATATATATATATATATATATATATATATATATATATATATATATATAATATATAGTGGGGGAAAAAACTACAGTTTAATTATATTGCATATTTCAGCTCGGTCCACTATGAGGGGATTTGACTGGTTCTGTTTCTGACCGGGGTAAAACCCCAGTCATCTTGTAATGGCAGTTCATTAAATAGGGAAAGAGAGGGAAAAAGGAGAAGGGAAAAAGATAGGGTAAAAAAGGGAAGTTTGAGGAGAGGAAAAGGAGAGGGGGGAAAGAAGAGGAGGGGGTAGGAAGGAAAGGAGGGGGAGGAGAGGAGAGGAGAGGAGAGGGGGGGAAAAAGGAGAGGAGAGGAGAGGAGAGGGAGGGAGGAGAGGAGGGAGAGGGAGGGGAGGCAGGAGAGGAAAGGGAGAGGAAAGGAGAGGAAAAAGGGGAAAGGGGAAGGGGAGGAAAAAAAGGAGGGGGGGAGGGGAGGAGAGGGAGGGAAAAGGGGGAAGGGGAAAGGAAAAGGAAGGAAAGGGGGGGAGAGCGGGGAGGAGAGGAGGGGGGAGAGGAAGGGGGAGAGGAGAGGAGAGGGAGGGGGAGAGGAGGGGGGAGAGGGAGGGGGGAGGGGGAGAGGAGAGGGGAAAGGGGAGGAGGGAGAGGAGAGAAAGGAAAAAGAGGGGGAGGGGAGGAGGGGGAGGGGAGGGGGAGGGGGAGGGGGAGGCGGGGAGGGAAGGGGGGGAAGGGGAAAAAGGAAGGAAAGGAGGAAGGGAAAAGGGGGAGAGGAAAAGGGGGAGGAGAGGAGGGGGGAGGAGGGGAGCGGGGGAAAGGGGAGGGAGGAGAGGAAGGAGAGGGGAGGAGGGGGGAGGGGGGGAGGGGGAAAGGGGGGCCGGG